GGTACAGGTGTAGAAGTCTCATTTTTATTTCGTCAATGAAACGTCAATATTTGGAATAAAATTAGTGCCTGGGCGTTTTTTGCCATGAGATATTTGATTTTAATGTCAATATGACTCCTATTTGTAGGGGGCGCCACCTACACGTGTTTTAACAAGAGTAAAAGCAAAATAAAAACACTAAATCACCACAATACACCAAAACACTTTTACTTTTACACTGGACGCTAACAATCTTTGTTACGCAGACTCTTGACAATATTGTGCTCCTTGTTAGATTTTAATGATTTACTTGAAACGATATTTTTTGATAACTGATTTCTACAAGCCTCTCTTGTAAATACTTTAGAAGCCTCGGGCAAGTGCTGAATAGCAGTTTCAACACCAACGAGGATTTCCTCCAAAGCGCTACCAGAGTTGGGCAATGCAAACTTTAAACCTTTGTTTAATAAACTGAGCTCTTGTTTATCAAAAGTCTGCGAAGAAAGATTTTCTACTATGTTTATGTCTCTTTGGAAAACATGTTTGTTTTTAGAGCTTTTTAATTTTTTAAACTTACTATTCAAAATGGACATTTTCTTAACACATTTTGAATTGATAACCACAAACATATTTCTCTGAAAGAGACACCAACATTCATACTCTACATTAGTTAGCTTATAAGTAAGTTTTTTGTAAAGTCCATAGGCTTCAATTTCAAGCCTACTTCGTTTACTATACACAAATTTGATTTCTAAATCAAGCCATTTTTGTTTTGCAATTTTCTCTACCTTATCACTAACGTTACTTTTTGGAATATCAACTTTAATAAAACTAGGATAAACTGAATTGGCTTTGCATGATTTAAGAAACCAAATATCTGCTCCTAATAACTTAATCTTAGTACTAAACTTACGATAAAGATTCAGTTCCGTTGACCGTGAAGCCATCGAAGATTACAGTTGAGGGTTGGAACCTTTGGTGTTACACAGCAAAATAAAAACACTAAATCACCATAATACACCAAAACACTTTTACTTTTACACTGGACGCGCGTTTCGCTAACCATGTTAGCATCATCAGCAGATGATTATAAACTAAAGTATAATCTACAAGTTGAGCGTTTATATACTCGCCCATGAAATTGAGAACAACGACAGATTACCATTTCTAGATGTATTAGTTATTAGAAATGCTAATAATTGCCTGGAATTTGATATCTATAGGAAAAATACGACCATACGCAGATATATTCCTAATGAATCACATCATAGTGTTGAACATAAAATGGCTAGTTTAAATTTCTTAGTTCATAGATTACTTAGTTTCCCACTTTCCAACGAAAGATATGAAATAGAAAGAGATTACATTAGGAATGTAGCTGAGTGTAATGGATATTCTCCTTCACTAGTTGATAAATTAATTAGAAAACATAGGTATAGGTTAATGATTTCTGAAAATTCGACTTTTCAAGTGGAGAAAGATACGTCTAAATATTTTCGATACCGTTTGATAGAGAGTTATCTCGTGGTCTAAAAGGAATTTTTAAGAATGTCAATTATAAACTTGTGTATAGTGAGAATAATAAATTACAACAATTATTAGGTAATCCAAAGGAAAAAACCTCCACTGGAAAGATCGGGTATTTATGAAGTTTCTTGTAAAGATTGTAATCAGAAATATGTTGGGCAAACTAGAAGATCAATATTAACTAGATTTAAAGAACATTTAGCTCAGATAAGAGATGGTAGACCGAATAAATCTTGCGTTGCCGAACATATTGTTGATAAAGAACATTGCATAGATCTTAATAATTTAAAATTAATTAAACAAGTCTCAGATTACAGGCAACTAAATGCATATGAAAGCATCAGAATTAATAAACGTAAAGTATGAACAGAGACAACGGTCCAATTCCTTCAAGTTCTTTGTTCCTACTACTCTAGTGGCGGAAATCTAACTGTTACGCTCAGTGGGCTCTGACTTGGTTGGCTAGATTTTGCCACGCCCACTCGGTGCCCACTGGGCGAGTATATAAACGCTCAACTTGTAGATTGTACTTTAGTTTATAATCATCTGCTGATGATGCTAACATGGTTAGCGAAACGCGCGTCCAGTGTAAAAGTAAAAGTGTTTTGGTGTATTGTGGTGATTTAGTGTTTTTTTTGCTGTGTAACACCAAAGGTTCCAATCCTCAACTGTAATCTGAAGAGTAAAAACAAATTCATCCAAATATTTACGTTACTTCATAAATTATTTGGAAAAAATCGAAATAAAAATGAAACTTTTACACCCTGTATCTCCGATACTAAGCATTTTAGGACATACATTTATAGAACGTTTTAACATATTTTTATCTGCAGAATATGCTGCCGAAGTTTCCGGAATACAGTTCGGACCACTCTGTATATAAGTGTATACAGGTTGTTAATTTGTTTATTACTCGCGGCAAGAGCTTTATGGTTGAAATATGGCAACCTAGGCCCGCTCGTCGACAGACGACGCGACGGAACGAGTAAAACCATAGACTTAAAATAAAATATAGACTGAGCATCTCATTCATAAATAGCTGGAACATGCGGTCAGACACTGTCTTGTTATTGTTGTGTTATTGTTTTAGGTTATAACGAGTGCGACACGAGCGATAGATAGGTTGTCTCTGTCGTAACGGTCGTTCCCTGACGACTCTGCCGAGAAACACAACACAAACTTTCGTTTCTCAAGTACACCTGAACTCTCCGTATCATAGCCGGGTAATTTTTTTATTTTAATGAAGCTATAATTAAATTAAAAATATATCGTATTTAAACTTTTTTATATTTTATTAAGATTTAGGACAGGTTTTTTAAATATAAGTTTAGAAAAAACAATTTAGAGTCCAAAAAGGATAAAAATAATAAAATACACGTTATAGAAGAAATTTTATAATTGAAATTAGGTAATTTTTGAAATTAATAATAAATTATTAATTTTAGTCAAACATTTACAACCCCTAATATTAATCAAAACAGGATCTATTCCACAGATATAATAGAATCGGCGACAGGGAGAGAAAAAAAAATATGATTGTTGTAATTTTGTTTCTGGTTAAGTGATGTCTTATTATGTAAATTAGAGAAAACATAAATCTGTTCCATTAAAGCAAGGAAGGTGATAAAATAAAAACTACATTTATTTAACTCGGTACTGTCTTTATTATACCAGGTGCGTCTCAAAAGTGGCTCATCCCCCATAATTTTTTTATATTTTCAAATAAAAAAACAAGATTTAGTATGTTAGTATATGAAATAAATTAGGATTGATTGACGCATTCAATTGTTTTTGGTCACTTCCTTTTTAACCGGAAATGACTATAACTTTTAATTTTTAAACGGCACCCCGGTATATTTCTACTTTATTCGATAGAAAATGACACTCTGAATAGAATGACATATCATATGTCAACTTTTGACATTTTCGCATATGGTTTAATTGTAATTGTAACACGCGGTTCATAACGACAATTTGACTCGAAATACCAAGTGTGTGGTATCAATATATTCATAAAAAATGCTTTTTCCAAATATGCTAATGAGTCACCCTTGTTCCATTTGAAAAAATTGACATATGTATGATTAAAAATACGATTTGTACATCTTTTAACCGGCCTAGACAAGACACGAAACCTATTAGACGATCAAAACTATTTTTCCAAGGCTCCTTGATTAAAACTTAGTGGATTGAAAAAAACTGGATTGAAATTTAAAATAGGATATGTTTTTAAGCGACAATATCAAAAGTTGACATATGATATGTCATTCTATTCAGAGTGTCATTTTTGTGCCTTTAAAAATCAAAAGATGTAATCATTTCGGTGAAACAGGAAGAGACCAAAAACAATTGAATTCGTCAATAAATCCTAATTTATGTCATATACCTACTAGCATACAAATCTGTTTTTTTATCTGAAAAATTAAAAGTTATAGGGTTGAGCCACTTTTTGAGACGACCCGGTATATTAAAAATATTGTTTCATAATGTAATATCATTTTAAAATTCTTGTATGTTATTTTAGATTCTGAAGATAATTTTAGAATAAACCGGAATATTTTTAATAAAAACATTATTAATTATTAACAGGGTTATAATTATGATTTTGTTACAATGTAAGTAAGGAAATAATGTAATGTAAAAGAAAAAATTCAGATTTTACATTTTACTAAAATATTATCTAAATAAGCGCCTTTCTACAACAACGCCACTGACTGCCAATGGGTAAATTGAGAGTTGCCTACCGGTCAAAAGTCGTTTCAAGACTTAAATGGATTATTTAAGTCAAATTTCTTGCAATTTGGCACTGGCGAACCATATTTTATAGTTTTTGAACAGAAAAGTCAATAAAATAAACACTTAAGGACTACAAGCTAAGAAAAATGCGTTAATACAGCCGGGAGAGAGCGGGCAACAAAGCTTTACCGCACACGTGCGACACGTACTACAAGGTAATAAATGAATGAATAGGCTCCTCGCCTCTAATCGGTGTTGTCATATTGTAAAGAACTTATCCTTATTAAACAGTATCCGACTTATAATTTAGTAGTATAAGGACTATTTAATACATCTATGGAATATTAAAACCTACTTTATTAAACTGTAGTATTAATATATCAATATATGTGTATAACAAGAAAAAAAATATTGATAATATTAAAGACGTGACAACATAGGCTGGATGAGGAAGGCTCGGTCGACTGTACCCAGAAGTAAACATGTGTACAAAAAAGGTTGTTTGTCCGCGTTGAGATGTAAATAGTGTAGTCTATATTTTATTTTAAGTCTATGAGTAAAACCCTATAAAGTGCATGCATTCTCAATAGGCAGTGTTGCCATTGTGTTCCCCTATAAGTAACTGTCCAGTTTACAATCTGTATGTCTGATTGTTCTTTGATTTATTGAAGCACGCGCAATAAATGTGGATAGATACTCCTAGATATTAAATTTGTTAAAAAATATATATTTCTAATGGAGATAAATAAATTAATATATTCAAAATTTAAAAATAAATTTACTAGCATCATGATATTTTTAGCCACAAATTATACATTATTTACATTTTTAAAATTATCTATAATATACTTATATCTATTTAAACAGACGATTCATATACTTAAAATACAACGTTTCGTAGTCTGCCAATACCTTCCACTTCAGTTTCCAGTACATCACCACGTTTCAAAAATTCTGGAGGATTCCTTGTCGATCCCACTCCAGCAGGGGTACCTGTACATATGACGTCACCTGGCAATAACGTCATCACACTGAAAATAAAACAAAGAGTACTTAGTTTGAAGTTAGTAAAGTATGTTTTATTTAAACAAAATAACTTCCTGACATTAGAGGAAACAAAAAGTTCACTAGAATTTAAGTCACAGTCTATTTATGACCAGCCTGTAGATCTAAGATCATTTACATGCCAGTGAATATCGAACAGCTCTCTTCTGGAGCTTGAAAATGCGGTCAAATTGAGTCGCACAACACGTACCCCAGAATGGAAGGGCATATCTGAGGCGCGACTCAAAAAGTGCATAATAAACAGTTCTAGCCACTGGCAAGTTAAGCTCCTTAGAAAAGCGCCGATATGCATGTCCCATTTTAGAGAATTGTCTACAACAAACCCTAAGAATTTTACAGATTTTACGACGTCAATGGTGGTGTTGTTAAGTACAAAAGGCTGCAGCGATTTTTTATACGACAAAGCTTTAGTTTTAGAAATGTTGAGACTCAGGAGGTTCGAATCGCACCAAGATTTAATAGTGATTAAGTCATTTGATATAATCCTATGAAGTGCCGTCCTTGTCCTTGTTGCTCCAAGTGAAGCTAGTGTCGTCCGCAAAAAGACATATTTTTCCACTGATATTTATGTTAGCAATGTTGTTAATAAAAAGAAGAAACAAAATAGGGCCTAGTATTGAGCCTTGAGGTACTCCACATTCTATTGGCTTGCTAGAAGACAACGTGGTATCGACCCTCACAAGTTGACTTCTGTTGCTCAGATACGACTTAAACCATTCGACAGATGTTCCCCTGAACCCATAGTGCTGCTGTTTATTAATTAGGATCTTATGAGATACACAGTCGAACGCATTAGAAAAATCACAGAAAATCGTTACTGTAGAATGATGGTTATATAGGTTGAAGTAAACTTGATTAAGGAGGGAAAACATAGCGTCATTTGTGGACTTGTTGCTTAGAAATCCAAATTGATGTTCAGTAAGTAATTTGTACTTAAACAGAAAAGATACCAGCCTTCTTTCAAAGCAGATACTTAAGTAAATTGGATTCGATACCAAAACCTAACTTATTTTATAAACAATCCAATACCTGGAAAGGTGTTCAATAAGCTTGTCGATTTTGAAAATGAGATTTTTGGTGTTTCCGCTTTGTTTCAAGTTGCCATTCACCCAGGTTTTGATGTTGATGTCGTGTGGATTCTTGATTTCGTCTTTGGTGACAATGTAAGGGCCCAATGGACAAAAGTGATCCATGTTTTTGCATAATAGGAACTGTCCACCTAGAATATTAATATAAATTCACCGGCAAAAAAATCCACTAAAAACTAGACCCAATTTCAAAGTTGGATTTCTCGCGAACCACTCATTAGATTTTGATGATTTTTTTTTAAATTGTAAATTAATTCCTTTTTAACGGATGCTACGTCACAAATTTTTATTCCGAATTTATGTTGAGCATATACAGGGCACAACAATAAGATGAAGTTTTTTGCCCGAACATTGTAACCCCCCGTAGGGTGCAGCAGCGGTAGTAGCTATTGCTAAATTAAATCACATTGTAGCCTCATCTTTTGTGACGTGTTAAGTTAGCACAACCACTTTAAAAAAAATGTATGGAACTATGTGGAATAATTGCCGTAAATTAGCCGTAAATTTGCCGTGAAAACGAAAAATTTGCCGCTTTTCGCTAAGTATGTTAAATCGATGGTTGTACTAAGTTAATATTAAGTTAGCACAACCACCATTGGTAATTAGTGAAAGAACATAGTTAGGAATTTTATAGTATAGCAGGAATTTGCCGTTTTTTTGCCGTTCTTAGTAATTAAAAGAAATATCCTCGTACAGAAATAATAGAGCGTGCAAAATTTTGCCGCTCTATTATTTCTTCATAATGTCTACAGGGTGATTCAGGCTTCCAAAAAAGCTCTATGTTAGGTTTTTGGTTTGTGAATTTCATTTCATTTTTATATAATATGGGGGCAATGGTAACGCACATTTTGAAAATATTTTTGTCAGCATACAGGGTGATTCAAACATATTTTCGAACCAAAGTTGTATATTTTTAAATGGGATACTATATATTTTTTTAGCTCAGTGGATTTGAAACTAAATTTCTGTTTCAAAATACCCCAATTTCATGTACTATACCTAATGGTTTTTTAAATATAACCGTTTTTTAACTAAATTTATTGCTTATTTAAAGTTCTCTAAAAATTCTAAATTCGAAGAATTAAAAAAAAATTAACAGGAAGTACTGAAATAATAGTGTCTTCTCCAAAATTCGGTCTACCAGAATTTGCAATCTTGTTTGATATATACAAGGTGAGTCAAAACTAAATGTTGTATTTTCATCTACTATTTTAAATGGAACACCCTCTATTTGGTGTCATAATCGAAATAAAAGAGCGGCAATTTTTTTGATTTCACGGCTTGTTTACGGCATATTCCTGTTGTACTATAAAGTCATTATTGATACCATTTAGTCAATTTTAAGAAAAATCGCGCTAATTTAACGTTATCGATTACGTTAATTAAAAAAATACCGATTTTATAAACAAATAATAGAGCGGCAAATTTTTCGATTGCATGGTGTATTAACGGCTAATTTACGGCAATTTTTCCACCTAATTTCAGACATTTTATTCGCGTGTGTTAAGTTAGCACAACCACTTTAAAAAAATGTATGAAACTATGTGGAATAATTGCCGTAAATTAGCCGTAATTTTGCCGTGAAAACGAAAAATTTGCCGCTCTTCGCTAAGTATGTTAAATCGATGGTTGTGCTAAGTTCATATTAAGTTAGCACAACTACCATTGGAAATCAGTGAAAGAACATATATATTATAGTTATTTTATAGTACAACAGGAATATGCCGTAAACAAGCCGTGAAATCAAAAAAATTGCCGCTCTTTTATTTCTATTATGACACAAAATACAGGGTGTTCCATTTAAAATAGTAGATGAAAATACAACATTTAGTTTTGACTCACCTTGTATATATCAAACAAGATTGCAAATTCTGGAAGACCGAATTTTGAAGAAGACACTATTATTCAGTACTTCCTGTTAATTTTTTTTTAATTCTTCGAATTTAGAATTTTTAGAGAACTTTAAATAAGCAATAAATTTAATTAAAAAACGGTTATATTTCAAAAACCGTTAGGTAGAGTATATGAAATTGGGGTATTTTGAAACAGAAATTTAGTGGCAAATCCACTGAGCTAAAAAAATATATAGTATCCCATTTAAAAAGAGACAACTTTGGTTTGAAAATATGTTTGAATCACCCTGTATGCTGACAAAAATATTTTCAAAATGTGCGTTACCATTGCCCCCATATTATATAAAAAAATGAAATTAAATTCTCAAACCAAAAACCTAACATAGAGGTTTTTCGGAAGCCTGAATCACCCTGTAGATTTTATAAAGAAATAATAGAGCGGCAAATTTTTCGATTTCACGGCTTATTTACGGTATATTCCTTTTGTACTAAAAAGTTATTATTGATCCCATTTAGTGAATTTTAAGAAAAATCGCGCTAATTTAACGTTATTGTTTACGTTAATTATCGATTTTGTAAACAAATAATAGAGCGGCAAATTTTTCGTTTGCATGGTGTATTTACGGCTAATTTACGGCAATTATTCCACCTAATTTCAGACATTTTACTTAACGTTTACTGGAATGGTTGTGCTAACTTAATATATGACCTTGACGCTATTACATTTTTTGTTGCAGGGGGATAGAGAATGATCGGAGGATATTTTTTTTAATTGTATCTAAGAACGGCAAAAAACGGCAAATTCCTGCTATACTATAAAATTCCTAACTATGTTCTTTCACTGATTTCCAATGGTGGTTGTGCTAACTTAATATTAACTTAGCACAACCATCGATTTAACATACTTAGCGAAGAGCGGCAAATTTTTCGTTTTCACGGCAAATTTACGACTAATTTACGGCAATTATTCCACATGGTTTCAAAGATTTTTTTTAAAGTGGTTGTGCTAACTTAACACACGTTCTTTTGTGAGCATTTTATTTTTTTAATCATCACATTATCTCTTTTTGTATTGGAGATATGCTGTTTTAAAACGAACGTCTCGGAAAAATGGTTCGCAGGCAGAAAATGTTATGTGTAAATAATCAAGGCGACATAGGCGAAAACGGATTTTTGAGTATTTGCCATATGACAAAATCGGTTGTCGAATTAAAAAATGATATCTGTAATCATTGCCTGGAAACTTATATGGTGAAATTTTGATAAAATAATTTAGTACACACTAAAAACACGGTATGTCGCTAGTGATAGGAAAAATAATTTTTAGAGTTTACTAGTTTATTTGGTTGCCTGTGATATACATATACAGGGTGTTTCCTAATTAATCTAAAAAATAAAAAATCGTTAGAAAACGAATTAAGGCGGGCTCTTAATAAGTATATTTATTTTTTCTCGACAACCGTTTGATGAACAAGAAAACTCAAAAGATCAATTTTATTGTTGAAAAAAGGATGGCCAGTCAAGAAAAAAAATATATTTTCTTTAAAAAAGCAGTGGTGTACCATTTATGTTAAGCAAAATCGTTTTTTTTAATTTTTAACACCCTGTAGATCAGAAAGGAAGTACTTTAGACCCAATGGTTATATAAAAATTGTTTTAAGAACACATGAGGAATCACACCATAATTTTTTAGACTAATTCGAAAATACCCTGTATATTGTCAACTTGACAATGACTGCTGATAAATCAAAAAATACCTTTTCAGTGAAAAAGCCTGATTTTCGCAGGAAAAATTTTTGATTTTTATTGAATTTGGGCCTGCGTTTGCAAATACTCGTTTGTTTTTTAATTTTCTATCTATCTAAATTTTAAATATCATAGTCAGAAATAGTTTTATTATTTATTAACTGTTAAAATGGTGTTTTCTTGTTGTGTTGCATCTTGCAAAGAAACTAACAAAACTGCAAAAATGTACGTGTTTCCAAAATACGATAAGGTATGTATCTTAGATAAAAGAAAAATATATGGTATGTATTCGTTGTTTGATTTTTTTTCGTTCGCTTTAAAATGTATAAATCTCGGTCTATTCATTAGACAGCCAGTCGACTTTTATTTACATGAAACGACGATCGATCATTTACATGAAACTCTGTAAAATAAATAAAAAAATAAATTGTAAAATATATATATTCTTATGTTTTATTAAAGTTACTCTGATATACTAATATATCAGTGTAACTTTAAAAATAAATCCTTTGAATTCAAATATAAACATGAAAAACATTTACAGCAGAAAAGGCGAAGGCGCTGGGTTAAACGTAGTCTCCACTAAAGACACGGAGTGGCGCTTTGACCCAAAATTTTACTATTAAGTTTCATATCTATCTTAATAGTAGATTATTTTCTTTTATCTATGTCTGTAATGGATGTTGCTCGTATTGTGGCTTTAATTGAGGATGGCCGAAGTCAACGTTATGTCACCGATACCCTGGGTATATTTTGAACAACAGTCCAGGATGCCTGGAATCTTAAAATTTCTTTACCTTTTTTTAATTTCATGTTTTAGTTAGTTTTCAGGTTAAATTTACCTACGTTTTGATGTTTGATTTGTTTTTAAAACTTTTTTCGAGGCGTTTGTTTTAAAGCAGCGTATCTCCAATACAAACAGAGATAATGTCGTGATTAAAAATACAAAATGCTCACAAAAGATCAGGCTACAATGTGATTTGATTTAGCAATAGCTACTGCAGCTGCTACAAAATTTGGGCAAAAAACTTCGTCTTATTATTGTGCCCTGTATCCTGTATATGCTCAAAATAAATTCGGAATGAAAATTGCTGACGCAGCATCCGTTAAGAAGGAATTAATTTACAATTTAAAAAAAAATCATCAAAATCTAATGAGTGGTTTGCGAGAAATCCAACTTTGAAATTGGGACTAGTTTTTAGTAGCCGTTTTTTTTGCCGGTGAGTGTAGAATCGGTTATTAATATCGGTTAATGGAAAATAGGGCTCGCCATTATCTCTTTCCTATTGAAAATTATTGAATAGAGACCAGTCAAGTCTGATTTGGTCTTTATATTAAATATAAGCAATGATGCAATGATTATTTACCATTTCTGGTCATCCAGTCTTTGGCAGTAAGATCCTGAGTGGCTGAGTATCCAAATATATAGTCAAAAGCATCAGCTGCTTTGATATTTCTTGTAACTCTACCCATAATTACCACTAATTCAACTTCCCAATCCACAGCCTTAAAACAATAGAATTATAGAAAATAATATCACAGATTATACAGATTATAAACTTTATTTTTTCCTTATTGTTTTTCGTGGTTCCAATTTTCGGAATCGGGCACTAGTTAGGTTACTAGTTTGCGCACATAGCACGCCCACTTATGACCTCTAAAATTGTGCACAGCGCCTGACCGGCACAGTTATTAGAGAGATATCGGAAAACCGAATAGCGTCATGCAGTATTTACGCGTACCTTATCATGGTTACGATATGCGCGAGTCAATTTTTAATGCAACACCCGCTAATAACGTTACCGCCTGACGTAATTTGCGGATCAATTACACCAAGCGCTATTTCTAAATAACGCTTAAAAATTGCTTAAATGGGCATGTGCGGGTATTTGACAACCGGGGCCGGCCGGCGAGATCTTTTATTTTAGGTTATGTGAATTGTTTTGAATTATTGCTTTAGTTTTATTAGATAATTTGATGTTTAAGTAGCTGGGATTAGTTTTAATTAAATAAATATGGCCCAAAATATGGATTCCACCTCTTCCAATATTAAAGAACCTATAAAGAGGCTTAGGTTTACAGCAGATGACGACTTAGCCCTTCTAAGAGAATTTGTTGCTTGTTGCCCTAAACCCACTGGAAGACGTTGAACAATAAAGCACTGGAAATAAGCACTTTAGCCCTTTAGTTTTAAAATACCTAGTAAACAAAACAATTTCAAAGTTTTAAATTCAAAGTTAGGTTAAGTTTAAATAGCGGACGCGACGCGAACAGAATTCTTTCCGATCCGATAACTATAAATGAAGAGAGTTAATACCACCTCACGTAAAGGAAATAACACCTGGCCTTATTAACGTCCATGCACGCTATTCGGTTTAGCGATATCTCTCTATTACGCTGTTTATTGTCATTTTACGCCAGTTTATTTTTGCGCACAGGAAATTTTACTCGTTTGCACATCGTCATAAAAAACAATTTTCGTACCACGAATTAGGGATAAGATTTTTATCAAAAAACATTTAAATAAACAGCAATATATTTTTTACGTCGATTTGACGAGTGCGTCACAGCAAATCGCTCCGCCCACTTATTTTATTAGCTACTTACAAATTTGTTGAATTTTTATTGATGGGACGCGTCGTCTATTTTTTTACGAAAAACATCGAGAGAATATCGTTTCCCCTCTCACGGATACCCCGTAGCTACAGAACGGACAGACGTACTGTATACCTAATCTGTGATAATATTTACATCAAGTTAATTACATAATACTTCAATATTACCTGACTACAAGAAGGATGTTGGATTTTATCAAAAGGCCCGATGATAGTTGAGGCAAATTTGCTAAAAACTATTGGTTCTTTCGGGTAAGGTATCTTATTTTCTTCGCAGTAATCGGTATAATTCAGACCTATACCAAGAATTTTGTCTGGTTTCTTGATCGGAGGCATCAAATGAACTTTATTCAATGGATATGACTGATTACGTGGATCCAAGGCTATTCTACAATAATTAAAGAAAATGTATTGACTGTATTTTATAATATCGTTTATTGAAGAGAGGAAAGCTTATACTTACTCCTTAAGTTTTTCGAAAGCGTAGTCGTGCTCGTGAAGAAACTTAATCAAATCGTTCGGAATCCAGTTCGCGTAAGAATTTAAATCGATTACTTTCTCTCCATTCACTACTCCCAGTTTTATTTTTCCAGTGGTCATCATGAATTGAACCAGCTTCATTTTGAGCCTGGAAATGACAAAGGGGATAGAATTTGTGTAATTCAGCTGAAAATAGAACTAATTTCGAACAATACCTCTCATTTATTGAACTAGTAACTCGATTATAATCTGGAATTTGTTTGGGATCGCGAATAATTCGAATTTTGTAAAAATAATAAAATTAATTACAAAAAACATACAACAAAAATATGACAAAAAAAGTACTATACTGAGATGAACCGCCTATTTAAAAATAGACATATTTATTTAAATTGAATACATTCATTTTTAAGACACTCTGTATACATAAACAAAATTATTGATTTTTAAAAATATTATTCACAAACTAGGAAGAGGGAAACCAGGCGACGAACAGAGGTGATATTTGTTAGATAATAGCTTCTAGACTACCATTCGAGACGCATTGATTTTATTTTGGTTCTTGAGTTCTGTGACGAAGAATGTTATTAAAGGTAAAGTAAATGTTTTCTCATTATTTAACTAATGTTAACTAAATCATATTATTTTGTTTTCTTGTTGTAATTCTGTTCTAAAGCTTTTTCATTATTCATTTGATCTGACAAAGACAATATATATAACATGTGTATGCATTTAATGGAATCTATTTATGCTGTAAATAATTTCAGTTTAAAAGTAATCTAAATAAAATCGTTTACTGTTCCTTCGAGCCGATGTTTGTGGTTTGTGAGAATAAGAGCCTTGTAGGGTGTACTAACAATTTTCGACCTTGCATGGGCGAATATCTTAGCTCGCAAAAGGGCAAACAAAAACAATAAATAAAATAATTCATAGAATAACTTAAAATTTATTAAATTATAAAATATTGGCGCCAAACCTTCAACTTTAGCGTCGATTCCGCAACAAGGGACTTCGTACCTACGGGTGGGGACCCGTTAAACTAACAAAAACCTCTTCAGTTTTGAACGATATAAATGTGGCATGTTTTGAATGTATTAAACTATAAACCTAGGTATGAGGACAGTTTCTATATTATTATTTCTCTTTTATTAAAGTTCAGGACAGCATAGTTAGATTCTCTGGAATAGTGATCATGGTTTTCTCTGCCGTGCTCTTTTACATGTGAATTCCAGGCAGAGTACGGCACTCCATTCATTTCATTTAATAAAATAAGTAGGGCTATTTACAAATTTAGCGTTTTATTTACATAACCTATTCTCCTCAAATTTCCCAAAATATTGCTTTGTCGAGGCGCATTCGAGGTAATCACAATAAATATATATTTAACACAACGTAGGTTCCTTTCTTTCATTTAAATTTCTCTTATACAGTTGGCCAAAATATTACCTCTTCAACTTTGTTGACGAATTTGGGTTGTTACACTACAATACAGATGTTGCATGGTAAATTATAATGAAAGAAGCGATAGCCTCTAAAGGAAAAATAAAAGGCTTTTTTGATACAATGCATCTGTAGATGTTAGTAAAGAATGGCAATCGCTTTTTTGATTTTAAGGAACATAACATAAATAAACATAACGTACGTAAAAATTAAAAATAATCATACAGAAAGTTTGGGGCTTTTTGGTTTTACCTTATTAAGTAATTGTTATTAGGTAGTAATTATTAATTTTGAAGTTTAACTTGATATAATGTCACTTTAACAGAACGTCAACGGTTTTTGTAGACTTATCTGTTTTAAAAAACTAAAGTGTTCTCGAATAGTTGAATTTAAATATTTGAAATAGTTTTTTTCTTTATTCTTTGTATTTTTTTTGTTTACGACGACGGAAAGAGATAAACTTTCCGGAACGTTAAGCATTTTTTTTTCATTAGGCAAATTTGTATATCTGTAAACCTAATTTCTGACAAGTAGTTTCCGTTTGGGATTAACGCAGAAGTGATTACAAAAAAATAACTATTTTATTTTGTAGATTTTCTTGCAATGGCGAAATACCCATATAGGATTTTTTGGAGAGATGAATCCGCCACATAGGTATAGACATTTTTCTAAAAATATATGTTGCCATACAGGGTGTCCCAAAAAAGTTACCTATTATAAAGTTTCAAGGTTTTTTAAATTGCACCCCCTATTTTTCTGTACATAATTGGATTTATTTTTATGCATTATTTTTATCTGAAGCACTATACGGTGTTGCCATTCTATTTCTTATTTACTAAAACTTTGGTTAAAAACACTATATCAGTAAAGGGGTTAAAAACTGTGGAGTGAATATTATATAACTTTATTAATACTTACCTATATTTTTCTAAACCAAGGATAACAAAATAAAACCACTACGGTAAATTTACATTATTTTATACAGGGTATTTTTATATCGGTGCCAAAATTACAATATTTAGAATGCTACATATATCTCTATTTTTTCTATATTACTTTTCGTTTAAATGTAGAATTAAAAAGTGGGCATTTTTTTTATATTTAAAGTGTTCTTATTTTTTTAGCGTTTTTACATATATTCGCTGTATTATATTACATACATACCGGATGTTGCATCGTCGGACGGGACATAGGAAATCCCATGTAAATTTTAATGGGGTCAATTATTGGCTTCCCTAGTTATTTTAGAGAATAATTCTATTTAGGTTTATTGAAGAGCACTAAAACCCACATTCAAAAGAATAACTTTAGATATTTTTGATTAGCTCGTTTACGAGTTATCGCCGATTTCTTTTTTAAATATTTCTCCTTTCTTATTGCCCTGTATTTACTTATGAGCACCAGTCAAGGTAAAAGATAACTGTCAAATGAAGTTGTCATTTCAGAAATTTACCTATTTAGTGCTTTATTATTATTGAAAACTCTTTCCTACATCGGAAATCTTAAAGATGTATTTATAAATACAAATTAATACAAATTAAAGTAAAATAAAGTAATCATTTACAAGGTTAATTATAGTATTATTACAATATTCAATAACTTATTAATTTAGGTACTATTAAATTGTTAGAACTTTAGGATTTAAGATGTTCAAATATTCCTCCATCGACTGCTAGACAATAACCCAGGCGATCATATAATTCTCTTCTTACATTCGCTAGTTGGTAAACTGAAATTCTATTGCATTCGACAGAAATAGCATTTTTTACCTCGTCTAGATTTGCCCAAACATTTACTTTCTGTGGATATTGCGTTCTTGTTTCGACAAATCTGTGTTGGTTTTCTTTGTTCCAATATCGATAATTTTGAACATTGGGTTCATTATTTAAGGTAAACGTGCATTCGTCAGTGAAACATATGTTTTTTAAAAATTCCCTATCCGTGTTTGCTCTTTCCATCATATCAAAACAAAACGCCTGCCGCCGTATTTCGTCCCCATCTCGTGGCTCTTGGTGCTTTTCATATTTCAAGGAATAGTATTTATGTCGTTTCAAAATTCGAAACGCTGTAGTGTAATCTATTCCTATTTCATCCTCAAGTTTTCTTGTGCTGATCTTTCCATCGTTCTCTTCCACGCACAATAAAACTTCCAAGTCGGTATCATTTCTTGCATCTTCTCTTTGTTCCTGCCTTGCTTCACATCTGCAGTTATTTATTAGGGTACCTTTGGTCTCAAATCTCTGGATATTCCTTGCGATTATAGATTTTCCAGGTATCGGTCTATTCGGATACAGAGCAGCAAACATGTCCGACACCTTTTAAATAGAATTATTATTCTCTAAAATAATTAGGGAAGCCAATAATTGACCCCATTAAAATTTACATGGGATTTCCTATGTCCCGCTCGACGATGCAACACCCCGTATAATATGAAATTTTTAAGAGGAATACAATTACACACGGAAGAAACAAGAGAAACAGTGCATCTACCAGCTACCTTGTGAATGTGGTTAGTCGTATATAGAATAAATTGAGTTTAATAATAGTTTTATAATAGACGAAAATTTAAGTTGTCATACACATAGAATGCTCTATTCGCTCATTTATGTAATTTCTTTCTTTATATATATATATATATATATATATATATATATATATATATATATATATATATATATATATATATATATATATATATATATATATATATTTTAAAGATGTAGATATATTTTTAGGAGCGAATATAAAAGCCAATGTTGCCTCATTTCAATATTAGGGTTAAATTTCAAGTTAAATCTACCAACTCAGCCACACAAAAGAATAAAAAATGAGCTAAAAGTCATTAATTCTACGCTTTTCACACATTTGATCTGAATAAAGGTACAGTAGAAGTTTCTTTAGGTAAATCTAAAAATGTCCTTAAGCTTTTAGAAAAGCTTTTATATATAAATTAGTTACATTTTATGTTTAAAAAAAGGCAAAAACAGTAATTATGGTATTTAATACAAACTTACAAACAGTAAGTTTAATACAAAACAGTAATTATGGTATTTAACCAAACGACTTATACAGGGTGAGTTAATAAGTGCAAATATTTTAGGGGTAGTATATTTCGATCCCAGAAACATGAATATGAGGTTTTTTTCTCGAATTTTTTTTTTGGAAAATTCGGATTTTTTTTTAAATTTTCAATTTTTTTTAGTTTGTAATTAAAAACCATAATTTCTTTGATAATATGGCAACATAGGTAGCAGATTAAATTTACAATAAAGAAAACCCAGAATAGATCCAGTGTTTCTCAAAATTTTAGCAAAAAAATAATATTCAAAGTAAAATAACTCGGATATTTTGGATTTATTTGAAGAACGGTAAAGAGAAAATATGTTTCTTTTATTGAGGTCTACCAGCCCTGAAAATATTCGCACTTATTTGAGACTCACCCTGTATAATCAGAAAAATGCTAACTTATTTCTTAAAAAAGTTTATTCTTACTATTTGTTGGCTTATGAATCAAAATTTCATAACAAGATTGTGATTTGACTTTCCGAATTAAATTTGACAACACTACAGTTGTTTATTTACAAGTAAAGGTTTCGGAATTCTAGCTTTGTTTACATTTTTAAGTTTAATTTTGAGTAAACTTTAATAAAATAATAACTTTTTTAAAGTTTTTCTTTTCAATTATACAAAATTTGAGAATCTCTTATTAAAATATGTTTGAAAATAATTCGGTAATAAAAAATTTTAAATTTAAACTAATCTTCTAAATTCATCTATGAAAGTTATGCGTTCTAAAGTTACCAGTGTCTCTCGAGGATAGAAAGCCAGACTTTATATGGTAATTTTTAAATTATAGAAGTTGGTTGGGTACGGCTACGAAACCATAATAATTTTTGAAATATTTTAGTTTTATTAAACTTTTTTAAAAACATTTTCTTTTGTACTCATACAACTCATAATAATATGCTATAGGAATACGCCTGAAGGTTACATGAAAGTCAAAAACCATATTTTTTAAATATATTATATAATTCGTATTTAGTAGAAAATTAGTAGTTAGTAAAAACCTTAAGACTTACCTATTAATCTCACTACTTAGGGCGCAAAACACTGTACACACTAATATTCACAATTCAACTTAAAGTTAGCAAATCACATAAATTCTGCCCGGGAGAATAACAAATTTCTCTATCTTATCCCTGAACTAAGCAAGCAGATCAATTTTTAATTATTTACTGGTAATTATAACCTAAAGAGAAATCGTTGATCTTTGACACAGCAGATAGATCCCGAGCTAATCGTTCTTAATATAAATAAAACAATAATGAGTACATAATTACACAAACTATCTAAGAAGATGTTGTTTGTCAACTGTATCAATATAATATAACCATGTGATGATAACTGATAATCTACTGTTGTATCTGAACATTTTCATGACAGAAATTTATGAATTTATTACCTTTAACTTGTAGTTTAGGTTATTAGAAGCTATTTACCAAAATGCAGCAATATAATATTAGATTATTCTATTACTATGTTGTTTTTATAATCGATTTTATATTTGCATATATGTGTGTTACGCCTATAATGAATACTTTTCTAATTTCAAAACTAACCGACAACTGTTTAAAAAAAGAGATAAGTACAAAATAAGAAATAAAAACTGAAAAACAACTAGAAAAAAGAAGTGTTAAAGCTCGAAAACAATCTGAAAAAACTCGAGCAAACTCACACTCACTTAATATTTTATTCAACCGGCTTTTGTGTCTTTCTTTAGGGCAAAGTGTACCTTTTATTCGGGCCAGAGCTTTTCATTGAAATTTAACGAAAAAAAAAAATACAAAATCTAACCTTTGACCGTGTTTTTCATAATTTTTTTCTTGGAGTTTATTATTCATACACCATCCCACGCGATAATTTTACGGTTTAATGTTTTTAATTAATTTTAAAGAAAAATTTCTTGAGGCAATATAAACGTTGTTGAGAGCAGTACCCATGTTTTTTTTGTATAGAAAACAAAGAAGCTTTATCAAAAAAACTAAGCGCTGCCTGTTTTGCGCTAAGATCAGTTTCTAAGGAACTTATCTTATCAATCTTTAGAATAGCCTATTATACCCTTTTTGAGTCACATCTTCGTTATGCCCTTCCCTTCTGGGGTACTTGCTGCGCAACAAAATTTGATCGTATTTTCAAACTTCAAAAAAGAACAGTTTGATATTTATTGGGACTGTACAGGGTGGGTCAAATTCGACGCTTTTAAATGGAAACACCCTTTTCTATAGGAGATAGACGAAAACTAATATCGGTGTCTGGAGCTCAATTTTCATCAAAAACATGATGGTGAAAACCGCACATCAATATCTGTTACCGTTTCGAAGTTACGGGGTGTTTTTCAAAAATGTGCATTTTTAACAAATCGCTGGAACTTTTTTGTATGGAAAATTTTGTATTTCTACGAAAACATTTCCAAAGCACCTTTTTACGTAGAATTTAATGGTTTAAGTATAATTTTTTTAAAATTAATAATTTAAGAGTTATCAACAGAAAATTTGATTTTTTATTTGAGACACTCTCTATATTTTTAATTAACTGAAAAGAATTTAAAATTACCTTTCCAGAAATATAGCACACTTAATATTTTGTTATAATCCCCTTCGATATACAGAATTTTTAAGTTTGCCACCTTTAACTAGTAGGCTTTGGACCCCTTATTGATGATATGTCCTTAATGGAACTCGAAAACATATTTTTCCAGCAAGACGACGCACCGCCTCTGAATGCTGCAGTTATCAGCAAATGTTTGCAGCCAATTTCAAGAATAATTGAATAGCTAACCAAGATCCCAGCCGTAGGCCGTTGGGGCCGCTTGATTTAGTGCCCACGTATCTAATCCTATGGATATATTTGCGGAAGAATAAAGGTTCCTTATTCTTCCGTATAATCTAGACAATAATTAGAAATACTTAGCAGTTATGAGAGGGTATCACACCCCTACTGTGTTAATGAATTCCGCGAGAAATGTCCAAAAACTGCCCCGTCTGTCCATAACAGAAGACGGTTGATATGTCGAACACCTGTAGCAAAATCTCATGTCTTGGTTTGCTATTTATTTTTATTGTTATTAGATATAGTTTAAATGTGTTGATGTTGGTTAAATATATTTTAAATTGTTATAAAATTCTGCATCTCTCATAGCAAATATTATTTTCGTTTTAATTGATGCTCACAGCTAGAATTTTTTTGCATTACAGCTGGTGCCGTTCAAAGCCTACTTATTTAAAGCGGGCAAATTTTTATATACTCTATATCTCGAAGAGGAATCGAGTAAAATATTAAGTGTGTTATATTTTTGGAAAGGTAATTTTAAATTCTTTTAAATAAATTAAAAATATACAGGGTGTCCCATATAAAAAATCAAATTTTCTGTCGATAATTCTTAAATTATTAATTTTAAAAAAATTATACTTAAACCATTAAATTCTACGTAAAAAGATGCTTTGGAAATGTTTTCATAACAAATGTTTTTTTTTTGTTAAAAATGCATATTTTTGTGAAAAACACCGAAACGGTAACAGATATCGACATGCAGTTCAAAGACCATTATGTTTTTGACAAAAAATGAGCTCTAGACACCGATATTAGTTTTTCTCTATCCCCTATAGAAAAGGGTGTTTCCATTTAAAAGCGTCGAATTTGACCCACCCTGTACAATAAAGTACAATAAATTTATTATCTGTATTTTCATCGATTTTTTCTTAATTTTTTAGCTTTGCATTTTCCTTTGTCTCTTTGTTCTTAAAAAACATTTGCTTATTATTATTTTGTTATACAGGGTGAGTCTTAAATAAGTGCAAATATTTTTAGGAGTAGTATATGTCGACCTCAGAAACACGATTATGAGTGTTTTGCTGAAAAAAAAAATTTTGGTGAAAATTTCACACCTCTACTTTTCAACCAATAACATGCTTTAATGTTGACTAGTTACCATGGCAACTGAAAAAATTTCCGGAAATTTTTTCGAGGCGCCACGAAACTTTAGTGGAAATTTTTTGACAGTTGAAAAGGTAAACATAAGATCTACAATCATAATGTGAATGAACTACAATGTCTATATATTGAAATATTACCCATTTGAGTTTTAGCATTTGATGTAACTAAGGTTGGAAATATTTTTTATTTAAGGAAATATGTTAGATATACCTACATATGAATTTCTTCGAAATTGCCATGTTCTAAAAAATATAGTTCTGCCGCCTTTATTTAACTAAAGCTGGTATTTTTCTATTTAACGAAATATGATGGATATACACCTGATTTTGATTTTCGGGTGTTATCTGGTTTTATATTTTCAATTTCTTCTTTAATGACTTGTTGGTTTACTTTCCGACATCGCGACATTTCGCTATACACTTCTTACTCTACGTACAGACGTTTTAAAACTAGTAATAGCTTAATGACAGAATCGCAAACAAAAATGACAAAACACATAATATGTCAAAAACATCAATACCTTGGCCAACTTAACAAATTGAAATTATTTTAAAATGTCATGTTGGATTAATATTTTTTTTTTCAAATTTAGGTGTGAAATTTTCTTACCGAATACCACGCAAGCTTAAATTATTCCTGGAAATTTTCTTTCGGGCACGAATATTTTAGGAAAATTATGAAAAATTAATTTTCAAAATATTCGTGCTCTCAAAAAAATTTCCGAAAATAATTTAAGCTCTTGTGATATTATAAGTGAAAATTTGGTATTTTTTGAAAAAAAATTTGGAAATTTTTTTAGTTTTTAATTAAAAAACGTACTTTGTTGATAATATGGCAACATAGGTAGTAGATTAAATTTACAAGAAAGAAAATCCAGAAAAGATCTAGTGTTTCTCAAAATTTTAGCAACAAAAATAATTTTCTTTGAAAATTTTCAAGTAAAATAACTCGGATATTTTGGATTTATTTGAAAAACGGTAAAGAGAAAAAATGTTTATTTTATCGAGATCTATCAGCCCTGAAAACATTCGCACTTATTTAAGACTCGCCCTGTATAATAATAATTACTTTTGGAACGGACACTATACAATCAATTTTACTCTGAATGACAAAAGTAAATCAGTGTAAGCCAGACCTCCTATTTATCCTTAATTATACTTATCTTGATTAAAACAAATAATAGAGAACAATATCACAATGCTCTTTTTGTATTATTCAGTCTCCTAATGAATTAAAGGGTTAAAATTTTGTTGTAGAAGAACGAAGACTGATATTGTGTTCGATTTAATTAAATATAATCGGCAAAGAAAACTACTCTGTTTTGGTAATGAGAAAAGACTTGTACTAAGGATGTATTAGAATATCGATAGGTTATATATCAATTATAACAGAATCATCATCATTTTCAGCTTATTCAACCATTTTCAATTATACTGTAGCCTTCCTCATATATTTAGATACTCTCTTTCTAGTTGAGCCTATTGCTGGCTATATATCATGATCCCATCTCTCTTGGAGGAAGAACTGTTGTCAAAGGAAGATGGGAAATACCCTGTCCCCTCTACAACAGGGGTATGATGGGTTATAGACTGTGTGATGACTCACGGAAGGGGGGACAATAGATCTTTAAGGTCGCAGTGACTGACGCATTCTACATTCTACATTCTACAATTATTCATTAATTTTGTCCTTTACTCCTACGTGGAGCATAGGGCTTCAATAAACGCTCTCCTGCGGGTTCGGTTGTTGGCAATTATTGATTTGACATCTCTTCATGATCGGTTTACTGCTTCGATCTCCTTTTTAATTGTCTTTTGCCATGTGTGTCTTGGACCAGTTCTTCTACTGCCTTGTGGATTCCACTCAATCTTTACCAGCGATGTTGTTGCCGCTTTGCCTTAAAGTGTGGCCAATCCACCTCCATTTCCTAAGTTTGATCTCGTTATACACCGGCCTTTGGTTGGTCAAGCTCCATAAATCCTCGTTTCTGATAGTATTTGGCCAGAATTTTTTCTACATTACCTGGGTCCTTTTGTACCACATCCACTCTATTTTTTACGTTTTTTTTTGGTTTATTTCCAGCATATTTCGTTCCATTGAGCGCTGTGCAACCTGTTTTATAATGTCCGTTTTAAATGTCCAGGTTTCGCATGCATAGGTCATGATAGGTCTGATTTTCTTTTTTAAATAAAGATTTCATTAAATTATGATTATTTTAATTTAATTTCACAGACGGCTATTTTTTCAGACAGGTGAAAATAATATATCGATATATTTTTCAAATATCGATACTTAAATATCGATTTTTTATGTATACGCCCATCCCTAACTAAGCACAAAATAAATGAATAATTGTCGGCTGTAAGGATTTCGTTGCTTCGTTCAAAAGATTTAAAGGCCG